CTGCTGCTGCTGCTGCTGTTGCTGCTGTTGCTGCTGCTGCTGTTGCTGCTGTTGCTGTTGCTGCTGGTAGGATACAAGTCCCTTTCAGATAAAACCCCGAGACGCACCGCTGGGGGCTGCAGCAGATATGTTTGCTGCAGCGCAGTCTGCTGCAGCAGCGCAGCAGCACCAGAGAAGAGCGCAGGATTGTCTAATACTCCTTCTGCTGACATCACTGCGTCAGCCCTGCGAAAAGAAGACAAAAGGAGACAAAAAGAGACAAATAAAAAAGAGATAAAGACAAAAGGAGACAGGTAGAGACAAAAGGAGACAAAAGGAGACAAATAAAAAAGAAAAACGACAAGAGAAGACAAATTAAAAAGAGAAACAGGCAAGAGGAGACAAATAAAAAGGAGACAGAGACAAAAGGAGACAGATGGAGACACTCATGGAGAAGACAAAAAGACAAAAAGAGACAGGAAGACGAAGAGACAAAGTACTGCAAACGGAGACAAAGACAGACACAGCAAGAAACACAAAAAGACAAAAGGAGACAAGAGAAGACAAAGAAAAGAGACAAAAAAGAGACTGCTGCTGCGCCTGCTGCTTTGTGCTGCTGCTGCTGCTGCTGCTGCCCGAAGAGGCACGAATCTCTGCAGCAGCAGGGAGGCGAGGAAGCAGCAGCTGCAGCAGCTACTGTTGCAGCTGCAACAGCTAATGTAGCAGCAGCAACAACAACAGCAACAGAAACAGCAGCAGCAAGCCTGACCCTGTGACGAGGAGACAGCGAATTGCATCTTCCTTTGTCTCCACTCCTCCATTGGCAATTACTGAAAAGATAAAAAGCAGCAGCAGCAACAGCAGCAATAACAGCAGCAGCAACAGCAGCAGTAACAGCAACAGCCGTAGCCTCAGCAGCAGCAACAACGGCAGCAGCAGCTCTAATGATCTCACCAGCAGCAGCAGCAACTGCATCAGCAAGAGAAGCAAAGCACCACTGCAGCGCCAAACGCGCCAACTGCAGCAGCAGCAGCAGAAGCAGCAGAAGCAGCAGCAGTAACAGCAGCAGCAGCAGCAGCAGCAGCAGCAGCAGCAGCATTACCTGGTATGTTGAGTCGCTGCTTAACTCTGCGGATGAGGCCCCAATCTGCTGCTGCAGTATTCGCAGCTTTTTCTTCTTTTGTTCGGGCATGCAAAGTAAGTGCTGCAGCACCAGCAGCCTCCAGAGCGTAGCTCAGCAGCAGAGTGTCCTGGCAGGTCTTATCGAGGTGCTGCTCTGCTGCTGCTGCTGCTGCTGCTGCAGGAGCTGCTGCTGCAGCAGCAGCAGAACGCAACCCATCGTCTGCAGCAAAAGAAACACAAAACACTCACACCTAGCTCTAAACCCTAAACCCTAAACCCTAAACCCTCGATGTATGCAATTCAAACAAGAGACAACCGAAAACACTCTTCATCCCGCTCCATCCATACGAAAGGCTTGAGGTTTAAGGTTTAGGGTTTAGGAATTAGGGTTTAGGGTTTAGGGTTTGAGGCTAACATGCAGTGCTGTCTGGTGCTGTCAGCACTTTGCGTATTTTGCAGGTGACAGGCACAGCCAAATGCCGATGCATTGCAGACACCATCGACCTGTACAGACACCCAAACCCTAAACCCTAAACCCTAAACCCTAAACCCTAAACCCTAGATCGCGAGCTCTAAATCCTAAACCCTGAACCCTAAACCCTAACCCTAAACCGATCTGGAACTCGAGTAAAGTGTGATAAAGTTCGTGCAGTGGTATGCAAGCATTGAGAAGAAGGAGACAGTAAAGAAAGAAAAAGAAGGAAAAGGAGACAAGGAGACAGACAAAAAAAGTAGAAAGAAGACATAAGGAGACAGGAAGAAGACATAAGGAGACAGGAAGAAGATAACACCCAAATGCATGAAAAAGAAACAGCAGATAGAGAGACAGAGACAGAGACAGCAAGAAGAATAAACAAGCAAGCAAAGAAGAGAGACAGAAGAAGATAAAGGAGACAAACAAAAATAATAAAAGGAGACAAAACAATAATTACTTCACCTACAGCACTAAGTCGGGCTCGTCTAATAAATACGCCCCGTAAAACCCTCGTCTGGCGATGCCCTGCAAAACAAAACAAAGACAAAAGGAGACAGATATAATATAAAGGAGACAGACGAAAGACAAAAGGAGACAGATATAATATAAAGGAGACAGACGAAAGACAAAAGGAGACAGATGTAATCTAAAGGAGACAGAAGAAAGACAAAAGGAGACAGATATAATACAAAGGAGACAGATAAAAGATTTAGGAGACAGATATAATATAAAGGAGACAGACGAAAGACAAAAGGAGACAGATATAATACAAAGGAGACAGATAAAAGAATTGGGAGACAGATATAATATAAAGGAGACAGACGAAAGACAAAAGGAGACAGATATAACATAAAGGAGACAGATATAATAGAAAGGAGACAGAAGAAAGACAAAAGGAGACAGATATAATATAAAGGAGGCAGACGAAAGGCAAAAGGAGACAGATATAACATAAAGGAGACAGATATAACATAAAGGAGACAGATAAAGGCCTAAGGAGACAGATATAATATAAAGGAGACAAAAGAAAGACAAAAGGAGACAGATGTACTATAAAGGGGACAGATAAAAGATAAAGGAGACAGATAAGGGGGACAATGAAGGCGTTAAATGAGACAAAAGGAGACAATAAAGGGGACAACAAAGGAGACAAAAGGAGACACTAAAGGAGACAAAGAGACGGAAGTAGAGGCAAAAGGAGACAGAGGGAGACAAATGAAGCCCCTTAAGGAGACAACAAAACAGAAAGTACAGAAGGAGACGAACAAAAAGCATGAAGAGACAGAAAAAAAATAAAAGAAAGAAAAGGAGACAGGCAGCAGCAGCAACAGCAGCAGCAGCAACAGCAGCAGCAACAGCAGCAGCAGCAGCAGCAGAAGCGAACAGCAAAGAGGAGGAAGAGACAGAAGGAGACTAATAGTAATATATCTCAGCTGTCTGCATGCACTCCGATTAACGAATTAAAACAAAAGGAGACAAACAAAGACAAAAAAGAGTTTACCTGAGGACAGCCTAAATTTACGTCTACTGCAGCAACTGTCTCCTGCAGCAAACGCCCTGCCTCCACCATATACTCTGCTTTGTTTCCTAAGGAGACACATCAAAAGGAGACAGCAACAGAGACAGAGACAATAATAAAGACAAACATACACACAAAGACACATAAAAAAGAAGGAGACACAAAGAGAGACAGAGGCGGAGACAATAAATAAATAAATATATATATATATATATACGTAGAGAGAGAGACAGAAATAGAGAGAGACAAAGATAAAACAAAGACGGAGACAGAGACAGAGACAGCACAAAGACGAAAAAAGAAAAAGATAAACAAAGACAGAGACAAACCGCATAGCTGAGCGATGAGGGGGACTTGTGTATCGAAGACAGTACAACTGTCTCCTGTCTCCTCTCTGCAGCGCCACCACCTCTCAGGACTGCTCTCCCTGCTGCTGCTGCTGCTGCTGCTGCTGCTGCTGCTGCGAAGGAGCCTTTGCCCCTCAAGTG